AGTATTGAAAGGGGAAAAACATTCCTAGAAGTTCAGGTATCAGTTAATCAAAACTAAACTTGCCAATCTAGGTAGTGGGCAGAATCCAGCAAAGCCTGGGGAAAATCAAACTCCAGACAACACAGCAGGAGCGAGGAGATTTTTCTGTCTCTCAGGTGAACTTTAAAAAAAAGGAGGAGGCAGCTTCATTTTGCCTTTGTTGTTTTGCCTCCCATTACAGGGAGGTATCTGGTTTCCCAATTTGGCTCCTGCCTGTTAAGAACTGCTCCTTAATCTAGAGAAGGATCGGAGAATCAGAAGGAAATAGCCATCTAAGGAAATATAGAGCTCGAGTCCTTTTGATTATTTATATTACAGATCAATCCAAGAAGGATCGGAGAATCAGAAGGAAATAGCCATCTAAGGAAATATAGAGCTCGAGTCCTTTTGATTATTTATATTACAGATCAATCCAAGCTATCTTTAGTCCTATTTTATTCTAGCTGTACTGCAAGCATGCCTAGGTATATACTTAAGCCTAGAAGACTAGCTGTGAGTTAAAAAGCCTTCAGGACCTATCACTTTTCTTTCTCCCATTGTTTTCAATTCTCAGCTTCTTAACCTTAGCCTACATAATACACAACTTGAATCTTTTTCCAAAATCTCATTCTGACAGAGAATTTAGCCTACGATGCATCCTAGTCTCTCTGCCAGCTATACAACGGGAAAAAAATGAGAGGAGGTCCCACTTGCCTCCTTTTGAGGAAAAAATCCAGAGAGCAAATTTCTCTGTAAAGAACAATGTTGGCAGTGACCAGACAGATCACCCTACCTCCAAGATAATGCAACAATAGGGATTGTGGGGGAAGGATTTAGGGACAAAAATTGAAGGACTCCAGGAGGACCAACCCAACCACATCCCTGTGCACACGTACATAAGCATATGTCCATTAGTATTTATTTTAATATACTAAAACTAGATGCACAATTATAGCAGGATATACTGTTTTAGAATTATTTGCACAATCTCATAAAAATAATAACAAAATATTTGCTGTATTCTGTACCTGGATTACGGAGCATTATGGGCTGTAAACTGGGCTGTGATCCTGCAGGTTGAAGTTGATGCAAGGGAACAAGTTGAATAATCTGGCCATTCGGGTGTCGGTAGAGATTAACAGCACCTGGATGCCTCAAAGGTTGTAAAATCATTCTTTTGCCATGAGCAACTTGCATATTTTGTGAAGGTCGCAAAGTAGGAGAACCCTGATGTACTGGAATCAAAAGTAATCGTGTACCCGTACGATTCTCTGCTCCACGAGGCAAACCTGGAGGACTTGTAGCACCTGTAGTATTAGGAAAGAACACTCTACTTAACCAATTCTTATTACATAACAAGATCTGCAGACTATTATACAAAATTGAGATGCAAACTTTTGCTGTCACCAGTGCTTCCCAAAATGGGTGAAGAAAAAATTTTGGGTTCCTTTTTGCTTCTGTGGGGAATTAAAGGGACAAGAAAGGTTTCATGTCTTTATTCCCTCTACTGATGAAGAAAGAATCTACAACTGGAAGAGAATTCATTATTACAATCCCCAAAATGTATAAAGCTGAATAATATTACAGTAATAGTAATAATAGTAAGACCCAGGCATTACTGTTATAGAAAAGGAGATGCAGTTCATTGATGTGGCAATACCTGGAGACAACAGAATTGATGAAAAACAACAGAGAAAATATCAAAATATTATGATTTACAAATTGAGACCGAAACATTATGGAGGAAAAAAATCAATTTTCATACCAATTATAATTGGTGCAATACTAAAAGGGTTCACCAAGTATTTAGAAATTTTAAACTTCACCCTAGTTTTGCAGACTACCGTGCTTGGAACAGCACATAGGTTATGGCAATATGTCCATGTGTCCTTGGCTAGGACCTGGTAACAACAACAACAACGAAAATTAGAGCCAATATGGTGTAGTGGTCAAAGGCGCTGAACTGGGAATTCTAGTCCTGCCTTTGACACAAAGCCAGCTAGGTGATTTTGCACCAGTCATTCTCTCTCTCCACCCTACGAAGAAGGCAATGACAAACATTCCCAAAAGTTTCCAAGAAAATTGAACAGACATGAGTCTTCAAGACTGACTTGAAGGCACGTGCGTGCGTGCACGCACACACACACACACCCTTTTCTCTTTTGGAGCACAGACCTCGTCATGCCACACAAAATCTAACGTGGCCCTCAAACTGAGTGAAACTCCTCAAATAAACAGATTGCAATTATAAAGTAAAGAACTTTCTGAAGAGCAAAATTGGGCTGGGCTGAACAGAATAGAAACACTTAATGGAAATTAAGTAATAACAATTGAGCTCTCTTCTGACAGATCAGCCAACACAGGAGAACTCAACAGAAGGTGCACTCTACAGCAGAGGCGTCAGACACATGGGCCATGTGCAGCCCATAACACTCCCAAGTGCGGCCCAAACCAGCTTAAAATGGAATTGGGTAATAATTAAGAAAATAAAATTACAACAAAACATATATATTACTAAGCAATACTACATTTAGTCACCAATCAGCAAAACTCTGGGCTCACAACTCATGAGGACTCCTGCAGAAGTTCACTGCCTGAGCTTAATTGCAGCAGCAAAGATTGCTTGGTGCTGCCCCAGCACAGGCTGAGCAGGAGCACCACGTGCAGGAGTTCCCTCTCAGTCTGCGCTGCTGCAGTTACGCTCAGGCAGGGTTAGGGTTAGGGTTAGGGTCAGGCAGCGAGCTTGTGCCTCTTCCCCAGGCAGCAGGCAGGCAGGCAGCCTTGCGCTGGTAGCCGACTGGCTCCAGACCTCAGAGCCTCCACTGCATGAAGGACCACCTCTCCCCAAAACAGGTTGAATTCATTTCTCTCCTCCCTTCAAAAAAGGTTGAATTAATATCTGCTGAGTTCGGGCTGCGCAAGGTCCATGTCCATTAACTTTATAAAAAAATTCATTCATCATTTTTAAATTAATAATTAAAGTTTAAATAAGTTCAGAATACATCCAGAAGAGGAGGAAAGAATGGGGAAAAAATGGAAGAGAGCAGGTGATTAAAATGCTTTTTGTATAATGCTTATTTTTATTTCATTACAATATCAAATTCGGAAAGAAAGTTATATGTTTACAAAATATTGCAGTTATACACTAGTCAGTTATCAGTGACTAGTGAGTTTATATTATAATCTGTAAGCATGTACAGTTGTGTGGAAAAGAAAGTACACCCTCTTTGAGTTCTATGGTTTTACATATCAGGACATAATAAAAATCATCTGGTCCTTAGCAGTTCTCAAAAGTAGGCAAATGCAACCTCAGATGAACAACAACACATGACATATTTATTTTACAAAAAGAAAGCCAAAATGGAGAAGCCATGATGTACAGTTGTGTGGAAAAGAAAGTACACCCTCTTTGAGTTCTATGGTTTTACATATCAGGACATAATAAAAATCATCTGGTCCTTAGCAGTTCTCAAAAGTAGGCAAATGCAACCTCAGATGAACAACAACACATGACATATTTATTTTACAAAAAGAAAGCCAAAATGGAGAAGCCATGTGTGAAAAACTAAGCCTTACTGCTTCCATAGGTATGAAGAGGCTAAGTAGCAGCCAGGTGTTGCTAATCAAATGCCCTTGATCAACTGATCATCAGCAAGTGTGACTACCTCTAGTCACAAGCCAAAGTTTTAGGAGTTTGCTGGTCTTGAGCACTGAGGTGTGTGTTAACACAATGCCAAAGAGTAAAGACATCGGCAATGATCTTAGAGAAGCAATTGTTGCTGCCTATCAATCTGGGATGGGTTATCAGGCCATTTCTAAACAATTTAAAGTCCATCATTCTACAGTGAGGAAGATGATTCACAAGTGGAAAACATTCAGGACAGTTGCCAATCTTTCCAGGAGTGGACGTC